TGCTTGTATTTATGATTTTATCACTATACAACATGTGAATAATATAAAGATGCAAAAAAAAAATACAATTTTTAATGACCCGGAGAATATTTAGGGAGTTAACATTTAAAGGGAATGAAATCAGTCTGCGGGAGCAAACAAAGGCTCATACAGTCTTAGTCTGCAATCCTATAGTCAAATTTTCAAAGAAATGAACGCCTTGTGATGTGTGATCAGCTCTGAGGTGTAGGCCTAACAGCTTGATATAACCAGTTATTCCATTATTGACATCTCTCCGCTACTTTTATCAATTCAAGAATGTGATTGTGTTTCACTATTGAGCCCCGATGCTGTAGTTAGTTTAGTGTTTGAATAAACATTATTCGGGGAAAATGTAGGCTTTGTGTTGCAAATATATCCTTAGTGACAGATTATCCACTAATCGATTGCCTAAATCAAAATGCGATTATCTCTTCCAACAACGTTTCGATTGTTCTAAGAAAATGGACTAATTCTATAATTTGATAAAGTACAGTATACTGTTATTTTTCTTCAAATACTCCTTGAATAATTTAACACCGGGTGATTTGTTAGCCCGGTGTTTTTGTTCTAGATAACAAAATAATGCATTTAAATGTAACTATTGCATTTGCATTTTTTCCCAGGTGAATGTCGCCTACTTTATTTGCAGTTAAAATGGCAACCAGAATGTTTGAATATTTACAACAAACACTTTTTTATCAATGGCACATGCTTCAAATTTATAAAGGACTAAATTACTTTATTTACCAGGCATTATGGTGTATTGCTGTTTAAAGTACTAACATGTATGTATCGGCAAATGTGCATTAGAAATCGAGCCATCCGTTTTCTCTACCCAGATGTTGAAAATTCGCTTATTGGTGCCTGTTGAAGAATGAAGCTCATAAGCAGAACATTGGTTGATACTCTAGAGTTTGTTCAAGTCCTGCAGCCAAAGTCCATATTCATGTGCTTATAAAAGAATCAGATTGTGTTTTATTCAACCATACTGTTTGGTCTTGAAATGTATAAACGTTTCCCCTGTTACATTGAATTAACGATGGTTGTAATAACTATCTGCAGCTGGCCATGTTTATTGATTTTCTTCATTTTCATAATCTTGATTTAGGCCTATTTCTTAACCGATCATTTTAGTGATTTGTTACAAAAGCCCCTAGTGTCGCCTTAAAAAAAAACTTTGTGGTTTTGAAAACTTACGAGTAAGAGAAATCGGGAACAATTAAAGATGTAGGTCCAACTTAATAATATTTTAATATTACCCATTGTTGAACTTCAACTGTGGACAAAACCAATGACTATGTAAATGATGCGTCATTTTACAGTGGCGAATGCAGTTCACCTTGAAAAGCTTGAGACTCGCCTGTTTGTTTTCAGGTGTAAAAAGCCCATGCAAGAGAAACCCATAGAAATGTCATTAGGGCTCAGTGACGGTTCAGTTACGCCCGAATGAGAAGCTGCGATGGAAATAGAACATCAACTTATACGCTTTTGTTGCCCATTCTAAAAAAACAGGATTCACAAATCTAGAAGAATGTAGATCTACAGTATACTGCAGATCAATCGTCAGTTGTTGAATTAATCTGTGAAACTCCAATCTAACTTGCTCTCAAGAGTTTTCCCCTTTAGCGACAGTTTAATATTCAAACGATCTTGTTTACAAGTAGTTCTTGAAAAATCAGCCTTTCGATGGAGGTATCCTGTTTGTTCTGTGTATGGATTTGTATCTATTGTGTTGGGTATGCAAGAAAATAAGTTTGTTAGCCATAGGTTCTGCTCATAAAAAGTACTGGTTGGGATTCACAGCTTTGGCGCTATCTTTGAAGTTGTACTTTAATCGGTTCTTTCCAATTATCCCAACTACACATAAGCCAAACTTCACATTATTGTCAAATATGAATAACCTAAATAAAAAATAAATTTACATTTAGACTATTTAGCATGCGGTAGTGTTAATACCATATACAGATCAGTATACATAACGACTGGGGGCAACTATATACACTATCTGCTGATCGTTTCCAATCATCAATTGTAATAAAAATATCTTTCCCAAAGGCTCGTTAAAAAAATCGGTTTTTCGGTTACATATACTGTACATCTTGCTAAAACCGAATAACGGACTACAACACAAACTGAAATAATATTCCCGCAGTATTTTGTTTAGCACGGTAGCAATGGATTTTAAAAGGTGATTTGATATTGGCTGCTCACTTCCGAATTTGAGGAGTAATTGTCACTGGGTCTCCTTCTTGAAACATTCATCAGCTCCTCTGCTCGGGGCAGAAATGTTTTTTCTCTTTCCAACCACAAGGAGTTTGGATGATGGAGATGGCGCCAGGAGGTTCCCACAAGAGTTCAGAAGTCAAGAGCTGCGCAGGTAGATTTGGAAATGCGATACTTTCAGAGTAGAACTGTAAAGGGTGTGATACGAAAAGGAAATGGATACAAAAAGGGAACCTGCCTGTATCAGCACTCACGGTGTTGAATTTCAGGACTAAAACAAACAACTTTTTTTTTCTTTCAAATTTCGTAAGAAAAATGGATTCCTTGTTTGTGGACCAACAATAACGTTTTACATATTAAAAGTCTTTGTTGGGGCTTTTTATTTACAATTCCTTGCAATTCACGTTATGTTTCGGAGCATCTTGAGAAGGAAGACTTTTTTTCAAGATTTGATAGTAAAAGAACGTTTCAGTGGAGCTGCCTTCATCAAGGGTAGCATTGTGGGTGGATGGTGATTGATGCTGTGGAGTATACATGTTCTCCTTGTTTTCCCCTGATTCTGATTCCTCCCACCTTCCAAAATTACACTGTCTAGGTTAACTGGTGTCTTAGACTGCCGTGTGTATGTGCCTTGCTATGTACTGGCGTCCTGTCCATGGTGTAGTCCCGCTTCGTGTACCGTTCTTTCACTGAAAATCTGGGCTACCACCACTTTACCAAGAATTAAAGACTTATTGATGTGGATACCTCCATCCAAATACAGTAATCCAACAGGTCTAAGACCATCGCGTTCTACAAGCCGTGCAAACCAAACCAAGCCACAGAACAGGCCTAAATGTTGGCATGACTACTTTAATCTAGGTGTAGAGACCCGGGCTATTCAAACATTTCAGAGTACTGCAGAAAGCAGACATTTCACAGTGAATTGGTAAATGTTTTATTTGTTTAGATTATCTCTATTAGAGCTTTCGAAAAAGTATATATTACTTTTTTGATCCACACAGAAAAGGGGTAGATGGTGATGTTTGAGGTTAATGAAGACAACGAACAGTGGACATTTTTCTAATTACTTGTAATTGGAACGGTAGGTGTCTTTGTCGAAGTGTCAAGGCGCGTGTCGTGCCGTTGCTTCCGATACTGTCGCTTAATAGTTGAGTCTGATTTTGGATAATTAAACTATTGGATATCTCAGATACTGAGATAGGAACATTAACCAATTGTTCTAAAATGTAGTCTTTCTACAACCGAGAGGTTCTGTGAGGTGTACTCTAAAGAGCATAAAACTGCATGGACAATATCTGTTTTAGATGGATTCGTCTATAAAAATCAAGTACATTCTTGATATAAATCTTAGCAAAAGACCATTTTAATTCAGATATGGAATCTTACCTGTCTCTGTCCAATCTAATTAAAGCTAAAGTCAAATATTCTACAACAGCATTTAATAAAATGTATTGGAAAACTTTAACATAAGCAGAAATAGAACTGCTTTCCGGTGTATTGCATTTCCCATAACAAAAAGCTATATATTAACATAAATTGCTGTTTCTTACATAAGCACTTTAAATATAACCTCTCCCACGCCGCCTTTTAAACTGTATACATAGCAATGAAGGCATTAGTATAGCGTTTCTTTTTAATTATTTACCTGTTACTGAAAGTGCTCAAACTTTGCTAATGGCCCCTGTTCTTGCGAGTTGACATTACACTAAATCTGGTAGCAGGGCATTTCATTAAAGTTTAATGTCGGTCAATTGGCCAGCAAAAAGCCTGGAATCCCATATCAAATATTAATACTTTAATGCTTTATGTTAAATAATCACATCCCCAAAGCTTTCTGGAAAAAAAATCAATGAGCCAACTGCTTCTGTTTCATTTCATTTAGACATTACTTTCGTGATTCTATGTTTTTAAAAACATTCTTAAAATTGTGAATAATTTTCAACAAGCAACTTTATTACAATACACCTCACACGTTTTGTTCCTCCGCTAAAGTTTAAAAACATTTTATTTGTACCTTTTTGCTCTGCATCAAGATTAAAAGCTCATACAGCAATAAAGAGACTTACATTGAAGGCAAAATACATTCATTTACAATCTGGTATTGGACAGAATCGAGATGTATAGGCTTCAGAATATAATACATAAATTACGATGTGAACAAAATGTCATATATAAACTTACCTTGTTGGTTTATTAACTTCATATTTGAGATTGGTTCAAACAGTTTTCCCCACTCCCGTGTATAATACCGAAGCGTTTCTCTTTGCTCCCTAAACTACTCGCACAACTGAGTGAAATACCCAACTAATTCCCTTTTCAGACAAAATGTATTGGTTCGTTTAGTGAGAACCATTCCATCTCAATTAGTCAGTTTTGCTATCCGATAACAATCGAGGAAACAGCTATTAAAATATTTACACAATGAACTGACTGCTTTCAACTTTCTTGTGTGGAATCTATTTAATGTCTTTAGATATTTAATATTTAGATATTAAATAGATATTTAATTTATTAATACATTCTATTGGTTTTAGAAACGTCTCTGACATATTACAGGTTGTTCTTTTTTCTGATGTATTTTAAAAAATAATTTAAATTTTAAAATAACATTCAAAAGTAAAATGCATGAGCGTTCTCTATGTATAATTCCATGATGTTCAATATCTGAACTTAAATTTTGCAAAAGTAAGTTTTGTTTCATTTCATGGTTTGATACAACATTGACAACATTGGCCCTTTTTTGTAAAATTTAGAACCACCATCTTCTTCCTGGAGGAATCTGCATTTACAACTCATCGCCATCCAAACATGAGATAGGAAGATACGTTCACCCGACAGTGGGCGGGCGTAGAAGAACTATTTCTAATAAGGTATATCTCTCCCAAATGTGACACTGAATGCAACTACAAATGTCCTATAGATAACGCCGAGACATTTGAAGTGAACAATTTGTAATTTTGTATGTGTGATAAATGTCCAGTAATCTGTAGGCTCCTGTTTTTGCGCATTATACTGTAAATTGTCCCCATCAAATGATTTGAACCTTCTCTGTAGACAGTGTGATGTATGAACAAATTCAGTTTGTATCTAAAGGGCTCATGGAATTTTACAATTTTGCAGTCCTCTGTATGTTTAAAAATAATTCTTATATATCCGCAATTTCCATTACTTTTCTGTTAAGACACCTAACTAGTGTTTCCTCATACATAACTATGCTATGGTCTGAAAAACACGAGCAAAGTTTATCTGTGGATTGCGCAGATTAATCCACATTAAAACGATTTTGGAATTGCAGAAATGAATGAAATCCGTTCTCACCCAAATATTTTTCAGAATCCTCAAAACGTAGGTTTGTGTTTCATAAATCATTCTTCAAATATCTCTCTCTCTCTCATTTGTTTTCAGTGACATATGCCGTTAGTACAAAATTTACCTAATTTTGTTAGGCTTCATAACAGTGTAAAGATAATCAACTGCCCCTGCAGGGACGGGCTGCGTCGTATTTTTTCTTATCTTTTCGTACTTCTCATGCTTTAATTGGAGCCAAAGGCTATTGAAAGTGGTCCCCGTTTTTAATCACTGATCAAATTACTCAATTCAAGAGAAATGCGCTGTATTTCTGTTAGACAGATACGGTCACCGCCTTGACATGTTTTGTAAAGTAGAAGGCCTTGAGGTAGCCATTTTCTAACGCCTGGTGTGTCCACAAAAGGTAGAATCTAATTCTGAGGCAAATATAGATGTAAATACTAAATAATTATGTAAGCGTGATTTCCCTTTTTTCTAGAAGAATTCGGCGAACACCAGCATGTGACCACAAGTCTACGTGTAAATCTCTGGAGTTAGATTCTTCATAAAACAATAAATAATCTTGAAAGCCACCTTCCTTCTGTCATTTGGGATTGTTCCTTTAACATCTAAGATATGTTTAATAAAGTTACAAACTGGAATTAACATTTACCCTACTTGTCATATAATGTGTGTTTCATCACCTTCCTAAAATGAAAATGCAGCATAAAACTAAACAGCAGAGTAAACGTTATGCAAATCGGTTGTGTTCTGCCGCCTGACTATCTTAATTCATAATACCTCTCGCTAAAGCAATGTATTTTAAAATCTAGGATGCATGCTTCATAGCGTTGTGTTTCATCAATACGTGTGATACTAGATCGGGCTCTCATTTGCTTTTTAAATTGTTTCATATTCAGTTAGCTCTTGTTGTGATTTCAATAATGGTTTAAGACGAAACCGCAGATAATTGAATGAGTTTCATATCCTCTACCAGTTAATTATAAAATCGATTTCCCCACACAATGAATGTCTTTTGTTTGTCAGCCAGTTAGTCTGTATTTTACTACTGCATATTTAAAAAAATAATTTGGCATTAATCCGATTCAGATTTTCTGGTGATGATAACATTGTGTGTTCAATGCAGTGAAGTATTACAAACATGTCGATCAAGAAGCTACTAACATAAATTTGTGTTGTTTCTCTTTGTTCTTGTTAATACTTTGTGCACGATCTCGTACTCTTTGCATACGTTTCAACACGTCTGGCTCAAAGATTCCACAGCCTAAAAGGGAGCGAAAACAAAAAGCTCAATGCTCAAATGCTTCTTTTTCTCAGTCAGAAGTACAAAACGAAGGTAATGGTTGCTATATTAATGCTTATTCGACGTTATAAATTATTCGCAGACTGGCGCTTTGCCTTGTTTCTCTTGTTAACTTTAAAAGGAAGCTACGGTTGGCAGCAGTTTGATTTCGGGGTTTGGCTTTTGCAGAAACTCCTACCCTTTTCTTTCCGTGTGTCACTCAGAGAGCTTCTCTCAGCTTTTAGCCAATGGAGTTGCAAGGCCTAAGACTACAGGCTAAATCTCACACAGGCCTTTTGGCATTATGATTGATGTTCCAGTTTCTCCAGCAGGCAAGCTCCCAAAGCAAAAAAAGCACATCGACTTCAGCTCTGCCTTACTCACTTCTACCATTCTCACGTCTTTGGGAACAACTGAAGCGAGACCAAGCAACATTTGTAACTTCCATCTGATAACGCGGCTGGAGTGGGGGACCTCTATATTTTGTGGAGGGTTAAGGAAACAATGGATCATATAGGGGCCCATCATATCCACCAGACCCACGCCGAGCCCATAAGTTTTGGAATCGATCAAATTTTGAACAATCCGGATCAGGGGAGTTGCATGATTTCTAACTCTAGGCTGCAAGATTCTGACTATGGTTTGGGATGCATCGTGAGCAGTGCCTACAACACAATGACTGGCAATTACAACACCAGCAATACAGGAGGATACAATAGCAGCGCCTGTAGCATGGCACCTTTGAATGGGTCTTACAATGTGAACATGGGCATGAACATGAATGGGAATAACCTGAATTCGGCAGGGGTTATCCGTGTGCCAGCGCACAGACCACTAAGTAGCGTTCACCAGCCAATTTCTACCGGTATGCCTACAGTGCCAAGTATGGGCAGCATGAACAGTATGAATAATCTCACGGGACTGACATTTCCCTGGATGGAAAGTAACAGAAGGTACACGAAAGACAGATTCACAGGTAAGAGCAGTATAACAATATTTCACCGTGTTTCTGGAGCTTTTGAATGTACGCTTATGATCTTCACAGGGTAAAAAGCTTTAGGATTTGGTATAAAGATTAAAAAAGCAAGTAATTGTACGTTATTGCAAGTCTTTAATAGTCTGTGACTTAATATCTGTACTTGGATTTTATTATATATATTTTATTTTATGGTAAATCGTTAATTTTGTTTATGACACGATAATTATCACGTGGTATATTCGTACAGTCCGTAATTAAAGAATGAATTATATCCATCGCAAAAATAATATTTTTCTAAGTTCTTTGGAAGCCATAATTGGATGCACGAAGGCAAATTTATTTTGAATTATATGTATTACATTCTGAAACATAATTTAAAAATATGTTAACACGTATTTCCTCAAGACTTGTCGTATTTTCTGTCACTACATCAATGCATTTGGATGAATTACAGTTGACATTTGGTATAGAAAGAAAAGGATGATTAGTGATTGTCTTATTGTCAGTGCAGTTAGCATAATTTTGTAATACCATAGTTTACCGCTAATTATATATGCGTTAAACTTAGTTCCACTGTGTATGCACGTGAATTAGAAACGATGAGCGTACAGCGTTTTTAACAATTTGATAATCGATATTATGTTACCTGACATTTGATATTAAATAAATCTTAAATATGAAAAGTTGGTAATGATGATTACCTAATGTGATATTAAACGTGATATAACTAAGCATATTAAGAATGGAATTAATTTAGATACGTATTAATATATAACCTATAAATGAAGGAAACATTGAAAACTAGACAAATACGAAAAAGAGTGCCTTGGGGGAATTTAACAAGTGCAATAAATTGTATATTTCAGACGCCTGTCTAGTAATACGCAGGCCTTAAGTCCAAAAGGATACCTTGGTTTTACTAAAATAACTTTAGATGTCGATAACTGCACCTGCGGTAACACATAGTATTAGTCAGTTTAAATTAAACAGATTATAACTGTAAACATTTTACAGTCAGTGATGTTTTATAATTTTGTGTCTGTAGTCTTAGACTATTTAGTGCTTTTAAATAAACTTGGGTTGATTTTAATTGCGTTTCTTTATAGATATTAAATGGTAAATGTATAGAAGAAGTTCCTTCCTATAGTTTTTGCAGCTTTTACTCTTGTGTGAATTCCATGTGTTCGTCTTTCATAACTGCAGTTGCATTTTATATTTGCTTTTATTTCTAAAAGGCAGATTTCTTGGAGTTAATCATATTTTAATAAAAATCTTTCCTTTTGCAAATTCTTGGCTGTTTTTCGACCGTTAATAGATAATTTTGCAAATTAACACAAAATATGCTTTTATCAAGCAGCCATATGGAAGAATAACGTTGACCTGAATGTATCGATTCTGTGCCAAGTTGGATTGACAGTTAAATATCTCTTGAGTACTGTGCTTATTATTGTGCAATTGAATATATAAAAATGATTCTAGAAAGAGCATTTGTGAAACACTAAACAGTTGTTTTCCAGGAAATCTGTATTTTAGTAAATCATGTTATCATTACTATCACTGTACACTATGGCAGAATGACATCATGCCCTAAATAATTTAACCCCGCAAGGTCTGTCCTCTTTCTGCCTCTGCTCCGGCGGTGCTTTCTTAATATCTTGCTGATTTTGCCGCTTGCTTTTGCCCTGTCTGTCTCCCAATCCAGTGGCACTCTCACCCTTCACTGTAACACGCCGTATAGGTCACCCATACCAGAATCGGACGCCACCAAAGAAGAAAAAGCCAAGAACTTCGTTCACTAGGCTCCAGATCTGTGAACTAGAGAAGAGGTTTCATCGGCAGAAGTACCTAGCGTCTGCTGAAAGGGCGGCCCTGGCAAAGGCACTTAAAATGACAGATGCCCAAGTCAAAACATGGTTCCAAAACAGAAGGACAAAATGGAGGTAAGATTACAAAGATTAAAACCATGACTTTTTAAAGAAATAGCCAATAGTTACGTATTATCGGTTGCCTCAGTCCGACTCCCATCATACCTTAAGGTAGGCCTTCTCTGCATCTGCTTTCTTGTTATTACACGGCCAGTAAGTAAAAACTGTACACTTGAAATTATAATAATTGTGAAAATTAATGCATTATCCACATACTTTTAATGTTTTAATATATGGATTCATATAAATGATCTCGGGAAGGTTTGTATCTGATCAAGCCTTGTCGTGGGCAATCCTATGGACGTTCTAATTATCAAAGAATACAATGACAGGATCTTCTCTAAACACATGGAAAAAAGAACAAACATACGTTCGCTAATGTTGCTAATTCATGAGATTATATAAGAAATATAATAATGATAAGAAATAAATGCGCCGTGTTTGGCAGTCTTCAAAGTTCTAGCACTTAATATATGTAAGCTATACGAAATTAATTCCACGCTGGTATGAACTACAGTTCGGTAGTGTTAAAACTCAATTACGACCAGAGCCCGTAAATTTCAAATAATTTTGTAGTGCGTTACTCCTTAATATATAATGCTTATTATTATTATTTTTATTATTATTTATTATTATTATTATTATTATTATTATTATTATTATTATTATTATTCAGTAATGCCAAGAAGAAGTCGTCCGGCTGATGTTGTGTTCAAAGGTTGCTTTATTTCTTGACAAAGTTTAAACTTGAAGTCATATATGAAAAGGGTTCCACTCAAGTTTTTTATTTCAGGATATTTTAAGCACAAATGTTAATAATAACCATTATTTTAGTCAGCGTGGAATTCCATGACACGTAGGCACATACGTTGTTTTTATTAATTGAGCTAGTGTTAAAATTCCGACCGGTATGGATTTTTATTTAGTAAAAGAACATATTGTAAGGCGCTTATATTGCATTTGTTTCATATTCTGGAGTGATAAGGCCATTTTCATTCAGAATTAAATTTCCTCAGTAAATTAATCAGGCAACCGGCCACGAAATTGCATTTGGAGACCTGAAATGAAATTATTGCTCTTTAATTAATGGAATTTGAAGGCATTTTTATGCGTCTCTGTTAAGCTCCAAGACAGCTGTTAAGACAATAATAAGCATAAGATTGATTTCTGCGAGTTCATCGGGTCTTCTAATTTTGAAAATAAAGTACTAGGTATAACGCTGTACAATATATTAAGGTATTCTAGATTTTGTTTCTTTAAATCCCAGGAATATGCAAGTTACTATTCCAGTACATATTAACAGAAGAGATACCGATTTTACAAAACACGCTTGTAGTCAAATGTATAACTTTGTCAGGAGCACTTACCCTATTAAATGAGTATAACCCCTATTCTTTAATGTCTCGGTACCCCCCACTTTAATAATGCCAACACGCCACTTTATTTTCCGTTGATTTTTCAGTAGTTTCTCTTTACTAGCCCACGAATTTTGAAATTGTGGAGTCATATTAATGTTTTTTTTTATTTGATAATAAAACATGCATAGTATGTCAACAAGCAAAAGTTAAAGCTGTTTTAAAGTAATTACTTTTAAAGAATGCAGTTGTTACAACGATGATGATTGTTTCTCTTTTTTTGTGTTTTTTTTTGTCCAATTTCAAGTCTTGCTCGGGTAACCTGTGCATACCTTGCTAACCTTTAACTAATAACTTTTCTACGATCGAATTCTTCTTCAGTATGAACTTGACCGTAACCGAATTATAGTAATTTCGAGAACACATATATTCCGTATGCTTTGACTCCTACCGCTAGATGTAGGGATTTTTTAGATGTGTATATTGTGGTGTATATATTGTAACCATGCTACTATTTGCAGGTTACAAAAAAATATCCATCAATTTTCTAACCGCTTTCCAAATTCAGGATCGCGGGAGGGCCGGAGCCTATTCAGAGCTCAAAGCAGGTCACTAGTCCATCGCAGGGCACGCTACAAAAAACAAGATATATTTTTTTTCCACAAGTATCATATTAAATAAGTAACCCCGTGGGTGTGGAAGGCTTTTTTAATTTGTAATTAAAAATAAAATGTAGAAGAATTAGTAAACTGCAGGGTTGGGTTCTGTGTTGAAATCTGACCTCTGAATAATTTTATTTTCTGCGAATTCATACACCACACAGAAATTGCAATGTGTAGTTCAGGCGGACAGCACAAGCAGATATATAAAAATGCAACGTATGTCAAAAGCTAATCACTCTCAATATCATAATAAAGATACAAACAAGACGTATAACCATAACTGCTATAGTAGTTCTCTGTGTTCCTAATTTGTCACGGTCACAATGTTGCCAGCAATCAATAGGCAAGTGCGCACATTTTGAATAATAAAATACACTCAAGATTCGTATATACCTCTTCAGGAATTTGATAAGTATGTTTTCTAGCCACAGGAACGTGCACAGGCTTGAGGAAGTCTAAAAAGACAGCTATTCCATTAACAGTAGGTTCATCAAACCTAATGGTCTGTGAAGGGACATGTGTAGCTGGTCAGCTAGGAATACCCCAAGGAAACCCATAGTCAACACCTTTAAACGGGACGAATACTTTATTATTTGAAGAGAGGTGTGGACAAATGCAAATGTAGCATAATAGAAGCTGCAGGTGTATGAAATGCAAGTGTTTTCTGAGAACTATTGCACGTTACCACCACAGCATGGAATATGTTATGATAGAGGATATTCGAAATGCAATACTACAGTATACCCACTTCATCTTATTCTTAAGGGCTTAACACGTTGCAGCGCTCGGACTGAAAACTTTGCTTTTCGTGGCAAACAATCTGACTAAATCGTAGCCGACTTATTTTTTGCATATACTGTATAGCCTGCATCGATAATAAGCATCTACTGTACAAAGCTACTTGACCTTCACCATACATTACGATTCTCTAGGGGGATGTCTTTTTTTTTCCAATTAGGATTTTTTTCTCATTCTGTAGAAACTCACAACAGCCGTGCTATACAAATTAAAAAATGTCCCGCATCTCTGCCATGACCTTGCTAACTTTCAGATAGGAAACCCAATAAGATCTCCTAACCGCTCCATAATCTACTCCAGCAGGTTTGTTGAATACCAGCTATAGCGTTACTCAGACCTTTTCAATACAAATTATATGCAATGAATTGGCTTCAATCCCGTAGCTCAAGTCTTCCACACATTGCTGTCCTGCAAAGAGCAAGACCACAGTTCTAGTCTAGACAGTTATCCAACATATTTTGAGTGTGTGAAACATTGTTCCAGAAAAAGAGGGTGAGATTTCAAATCGTTTGTTAAACTGCTTGTGTATGTTCCTACTGTAACCTTAAGCACTTTTATTGTTTTATTCAGTTCTGCAGTTTAAAGCAGTCTTTGTTTCAGTTTGTAGATAGGTTTACGTTACAACAGATTTTCTTGTTTGCAAACTGAAGTATTGGCCACACTGGATAATGTGACGAGGAAATAGGGAGATATCAGGAAGAGAGAGAGAAAACTGGGCAGTTGGAAAAGTGACGGTTAAAATAAATTGTTAAAAACAGAACATCCGTCTCCATCCAGTTCGTAATCCTTACAAGCAGGGCGTTTAACCACCCCTTCATGAAACCTACGGTTACGTTACCTAAATATACAAATATAATAGTCAGCATTAGCCGTACGGAAACATCACCTAGACCTGAAAGGACGACAGTGACAGTGTTGGCTCTCTAGGGTTCAATGACGTGACGTCACCTTCTGCAACAGGCTCAAGGCTACTAAGCCCATTTAAACGTACGATAATAAATAAGTGTATTATCCATGCAAATTAACTTTCTGACATACAATTATAAAGGAAATAAGACTTAAGTAAATCTTACTATTTGTAATCATAGGCATTTAAAGCTAGATCTAAAAGAGATCAAATCTGTAGGCCTACTGTAGGCCTGAAGATGAAAAGATATCAAATTAAACGTATATGTTAATGTTAGGCACAAGTAACACTTGAAGGAAAATTTCTAAAACGTTAAAAATGGAACAGACGCGCTAGTACTGGGTGTTGTCACAGAAGTAAAGGACTATGCTTCTTCACATTAATTTTGAAGTGAAGTGGAACTTTGTTAGACTTTGTTTCTCTGTTTTGATTTAGACGACAAACCGCGGAGGAGAGAGAAGCTGAAAGACAGCAAGCCAATCGGATCCTGATGCAACTGCAGCAAGAAGCCTTTCAGAAAACTTTAAACCAGCCAGTGCAACCGGACCCTATTTGCCTTCATAACACATCCTTGTTTGCTCTCCAGAACCTTCAGCCCTGGAGTGATGATTCGGGAAAAATTACCAGCGTAACATCCATTGCTTCCTCCTGTGAATAGAAAATCATTTCATCCCTCATCCCCCCTACCGTCCAAGCTCGATTGCAATAGAATCGTGAAACATATCTGAATAAAAGTTTCTTGCGAAACTCGACTGAAAGACTATATGTAACGGAGCACATGTTCATGCAGAAGAATTTCACATATACGCCCTTTTGATTAAAATGACTCTCAGCAAAAAAAAAAGAACGATTAATACGTTGGCTCAATAACGAACCTCTTATTTTTACTATTTGACGAAAACTGCCTTGTGTTGGACAGAAAACACACTTCGCTTCAGAAACATTGTGATGTGATTTTATGCAATGACTTTTTTATCTGCACTGTTATCGCATCTTTTTGCAGTTTTTTCTTTTATTAACTACCTTTCTTTGATAAGTTCGCGAAAGCTTAACTGTTCGGAAATTGCCGAGAGACATATTTTCTAGTCTATTATGACTTGAAATATAACCGAGACTTACCTACAGTATTTTTTTTACTCCACTTAATGAAGGGAATGGAGCGACACTGACAACTCACAATCTGCCGCAAGTATTGATCACACCATCAGTTTTAATTCCCCCACTTTCTGAGTTATATTGAGTTTTTTCTACACTAATATGATTTATTTTTTACGTTAGTTCAGAACACCAATAGTGCTCGTGTTTAGATTTAAAAAAATAAAATGTGTTAGAACTGGCAAAACTCACACTACCCCAATAAGCTTTTTGATTTTATCATTAAGTTTTTTTTTTCTTTCATTAAAATACCATTTTATCTAGTACACCAAGTAGAGCATGGTATAATAATTCCCAATACGTTTTATTATGTCAATGAGTTATTCTAATATACAGTAGGCGTACTATCATCCTGTCTCAATTCCCTTCATTAAAAATGCACTTACATTTATGTGTATTAATTTCTTATAGTGCTTGTGTACATTTTGTGTAAAAAATAAACAATTTATGAAATTAATTGTAGGCTATAGGCTATATATTTTATAACTTTACCGCATGTATTACTTGTTTTTATCTTTCGTCTTCGGATCTTTCGTGGGGTTCATCTTAATGTTTTGCTGCAGTGTTCATTTTCCTTGGCGACGAATTTATCGCTGTATGCTTAACACAAAGAAATAAAGTAAGGCTTTTTGCAGATTCCGGGAACTCACATTCCAGTCAAACGTAATTCGCAGTGCAACACTTTCCAATATAATACAATAGAAAGAAAATGCGGATTACATTATTTTGTTTGTGAACTATGCTGTTTCAGAACCCATAGGCTAATGATAGATAAGACCTACAGTATGTCTTTTTTCCGTATTTTTTAATTTAACATCGGTTACTTTAGGTAGGCCTACTTGATTTTGGGCAATTCTATATTAGCAAATTAATTTGCTACACTCAATGTATTTGGAAATTAAAGTTCTCTCTAAACTTACTTTCTGCCGTGTATGCCGCACATAAATCCTTAAGCTTTAGTGAATATTCTTATACTAAAACCAGTCTTTAAAAACTAAGTCTAACAACCCTAACAACCGCAACTGGAAAACAACGATTCTACTGTACATTGCGCCCTTGTCAACATAAAGGCAGGTGCTTATTCTGATTACAGCTGTCAGTTTACTTTAAGGTAGAATTGTGCCATCTGTTCAGCCTCTTCATTCCCTTTCTTTTAATATAAAATGACCCCGGAACTACATGAAGAAAGCGATGTTTTAGACATTTTAAGTGCCTTTTAAAAATCTTGTACTTGAAGTAACTTGTTAAGTCTTTGGAAGAATGTGAATTCATTTTCAAGACATCCACTCATTTTAGCGGGAGCTCTTTTGTTGCATGTCGCTAATATCTTGCATGATATAACGCTGTAATCGTGGAGATTAAGTGGAATAAGGAAATGTAATTAATCAGAAATACAATAGCAGTATAAACGTCGTGTTTCTCTTTTGGCTCATTTGAACAATTCTGTAACATTGGTTCAATTTGCGATGTCATTCCAGCAAACAGCAGTTCCCCCCTAATTATTAGACATCACTGCATAATAAATATTTGTGAAAAGTATAGCTTTTTTTATATATTTAAATATAAATGTGCCCCGTAAAAATCTGTCAGTAATTATCTTCCATTCTAACGTTACATTCTATTATGTAGGCCTTCTACATTATAAAAACCTTAGATCTATGGTTTAAATACCAGAGATTTTCAGCAAATGCATATACAAGTTTTAACATTGGAATACATGCCTAAATAAAGATGTTTGGGAGAAGAAACGTTTTAGAATTCTCCGAAAATGTCCTTCTGTCGCTGGTTATTTCCAAGGGTATAAATTAATAATCTAATATTGTTTTACACTGACCAAACGAGAGCTGTAATTTTACAAACAGAAATTACCAAGGAATTTTATAACATTAACTCTTTATTGTTTGTTCACTGAGTATCAGTTTTCGCTTTTTGAAAAAAGTTACTTACCTTAAAATTGCAATTGGGCCATTACCTACACTACTGCAACACCTACGTAAATGTAGAATGTATAGTTAGAAGTAGTAATCTATGTTTTTCTGCAGTTATCTGTCAATGTCATGTGTATGTATATTTGAATACCAGAGATGAACATTGTGAATGCCGGAATTGTTATATATACAACCAGTTTGACAATTTCGCAACCACAGTAGGCTATTTTCTTTTAGAATGCATCGGTCTCTTCGATCATTTTTTTAAATAAATTGTTCATATTTGCATAATGAGTGAGCGAAGAGAAGTAGACGATAATAAGAAAACAAGGGCTGAAATAAATTTTATGTCATTTAATTATCGTAGACAATCGTCTAGCATTGTAGATTGTCAAAGCTGACAAATTCCTTTTTCTTTCACCAACCTGTGGCTCTTTCAAATCTCATATTTTTCATCTACCAGTAAGGTAGTGAGTGAATAGTTCGTAGGGTAAAAGAGCAAAACATTAAGAGAGTTAAGGTGTTTGAACATCCATTCTGTCGTGATTACTACACAACAGCTCTGCAAGACCAGTCGTGGTGTGTGTCAATTTAACGCTTTGCGTTATTGCTCAATAATTATTTCCCGAGCACCAGAAGCTGTATAGATTTCTATTTTCATGTTAATGTTTTGTCTCGTGTTTTAGACCTTGGGGTCCCTACTTCACTCTTCCATAGCTCGTTTCAACATCAGAATTACAACTTTTATTCGGGAATTTGTTAATACTGCGTTTTTTTTGTTTGTTTTTGTTGGTAATGTATTATTTATAAAAGTTTTTTTTACCGGATTGTTTTTTTCCAGGATTTCTGTCATAATTGTCCGTAATTCGGTTGGTAATGATACGTTTTTGTACGAATTCACGTAATCTACTGGTGTGCAAATTTTGAGGGACGCTTTGTATTATGCGTATTTGACACCTTCATCTTTTGTTTTGTTTTCCGAAATACTTGCAATGTGATTTGGATTACGGTCTAGCCGGAAAACAAAATCTAATTTCCATAATCTTTGTGGGGAATACAAAAATAAAATGTAATTGTGCAGGGAATACGACTCGGGCATGGTTCGTATTGGACGGATGGAATACTGCGTTGTTGTCTACATTGTCGCCACCATTTGCTTTCAAAACGCTTTTAATAAGATGCAATGGGGCGGTGTTCTGCTAAAATCGTACAGTAAGTCTCAAGCTCGGGCTTTTGCTTTTAAAAATGGATGTTGTCTTCATAATGTCTAAAATGTTTCTGAAAATGCATTAATTTTAATCTTCATACATTATGTTGAGCTCCGTAGTGCTACATAACAGCGACACAAAAGGAACTAAATGTCAAATTGTATTTTTTTGTGTTAAGTGACATTAATTGGATGGCAGTGAGACAGGCTGGCATTATAAACGGGATGATGAAATGAGGGACAATCCCGTGGCAGGTACTGTACATGGTGAGAGAAGGTCTGATCTTTAAAGGACTATAGTAAGGTAGGTGAAGCTATGTAAAATGAAATTGTTTTAATTGACTCGGGTGTTTATTTAAGATACTTAAATAAATATTTTTGGTGAGAAGTGGTTTCTTTATGAGCTACAGTTTTTTTTAAATCTGTTTATCCTCAGAATGTTACTTTCTCTGCTCAGAAAGTATTGTCCTCTGAAGCTCATAATAACACACATTAAACTGTTCCTTAAAATATTAATGTTGACTCATGTCTGCAAAAATGGCATTTTGTGCCCACCATTCTTATTATATAGAAGAAATTCTTATTTCGGTAGTGTATATTATCTGCATTTTCTGCTTTATTAAATATATTTATCATTACAGGCTTCTGGAATTCTCAGTTTTTGATGTTGCTGATTCAATTCTGCCTACATTTCTCATTTGTTTATTAAGTACAGCATCTGAAAATAATTCTGGGAGCAGAAAAAAATGAAAACTCCATGATAGTCTTAGTATTCAACAGACCAAATTCACAAACAGACTTTGATTTTCTTTTTACTGTATGTCCACTGCTGTCCAAAGAACCTGTGAAGTCTTTTCAGAAGTTGTTTTGTGTTTACCCCCTGTAACAGATATTTAGAAGAACCAATAAAACATTGGAGAGCCTAGAAAAGGGAGAAATTTAAGTTTAAAAAACATTAAGTCAAATGACAGGAAAACACTCACAATGAAGTGTCGGCTACATTTAAGTCTTATATCTACTTAATTTCCTTTTTTGAAAGTAATACTATTTTTGTCTTGCAATACAACAGCTTTGCCTTACTTTGCTTAACGTTGGTTTGATGAGATTGTATTGATGAATCCATTTAAGATATGCTACAGAATCGGGAAAGTGTGTTTATTATAATGTATTGATAACTTCCATCTAGTCAGAACCGACATCTTTTGATATAACATCCATTACAATGATCAATATTGTCATTCCCCTCACTCTCTGACCCTTCTGGTAATCCAGAAAACAGAAGGCAGGAAGGCATTTCCTGTCATTTCAGTGTTACTCTCAGTCTTGGGAAGTTAAAATGACTTCATGTTTTAGTCATAGATCAAATACAAAAAGTTTGATTTACATACAGTGTGCGAACACTTCAGGCTCACATCCTCTGGCTGGATGAAGTTGCCTCTCTCCTATGTTTAAAATGTTTGGGATGCAGTGGGATGAAAATAGGAATACAAATACAACAACAATCTGTGTATATGAAGAAGAACAGATACAGGCAGGTATTGTCTGTGACCCCACCTCATTCCTACTATGAAAGATGCCTTTTCTGCTTTCTTGTTTTTAGCTAATGTTTGGAAGCCACAATAACTGACATCTTTCTTAAGTTAATGCTGGTATCTCCACAAAATGTTAAATTTCTATGCTTTGTTAATTTACACAGATGATAATGACACCATAAATTTGGCAGCAAATATTTTAAAAAAAAATCACTTAGCTTGTTTAGCAGCAATCAGTGCATGTACATGAATTGAGCTCTGTTATGCCTTTGAAAAGAGCATTTGTGCCTGCTATACTGTGTATTGCTGAAAGCGAATGAATATTTGTTTGTACCATACAAATAAATAGAATTGGATTAAATAAAAAAATCAATTTGCAGATTATATAGCATTGCATAGTGCAGAGCTATGTGACAGGCTTTGCGTTCTTCTCTGAATTGTAATAAAAGTGGATTTTAGAAGTTCAGAATTAAACTTACTGTCTCAGTTCAACAGGATTTACAACAGAAAACTGGCATTTTAATAATTGCTCTCACACATCAACAGCA